AAAAGCGAAAAAAGGTATCCCTCTCCATTCTGTTACTGTTTAGTACATATATACGCTACATAGCTACCTTCTTTCAGCGGCATGTGTTGAGAAAGAAGAAGAAACTTACTAAAAGCCAATTAAGTGAGAAGAGGAAATTGACGCAACAGAGGAAACTTCTTGGGCTCGTACGGCCTGACGTGACAACAAATCGAGAAAAGGAGCGGTTATTGAAGAAAATCGCCACAAAGTTTGTAATTTGTGCTCAAGAACATCGCTAGTTGAAAAAACTGAAACCATTCACTCACAGCTTCGTTCGATTGCAGAGGTGTTGTACAGCTTTTTAACGCTGTAGCCGAGAGACAACGGATATTGGCCGAAGAGTTGTCGAAGAAAATGTCTGCGAAACAGCGAAGAGAAACTGAAAAACGTTTGGACGGACCTACAGCTTTCCACGTTTACCCTGAGAACAGGAAAGAGGATCTTAAAAAGGTACCACTCCTTCCGATGTTGGATTTATGACAGATAAAATTGAGCTGGAATGAGAGCGTAAGAGGCGGTCCCAGTGGCGTGACGTATAGCAATGGCCCGGAAAGCGTGAGATGCAGGTGCAAGTCCCGCCTGGATGAAGACTTTTGCCTGTAATTCAACCTTTCTTGTGGTACTGTGCCTTCTTCTTTTCCAACACCTGCTTTGTTCGTCTTGCTGAGCGTCTTTTTCGAGCCGCGGTGGGGTTGTTCCCGCTGGTTTCGCTTGGGTGGTATATCCCCTAACCTTTGTCAATGGGTAGAGTGCTGGCTGCTGCAGGGTTCGTCAGCAGTAAAATAACGCTTCAGTAAAACCTTTGGTGCTAAACTAGATGAGCTTGGTGTGGTTTGCAACGTAGATTCGAAGTTGGGCTGCGGCGCAGTTCGGCTTGTTAGGGGCAAGGGCACGTCCTGCCGTTGGGAAGCTTTCACGAAATACGACCTGCAACCCTCAAAATGTCCTGCTCTGGTGCAACCCCACCCTCCCCCCCCTGTCCCACCCTCTACCCTCATCTTCTCTCCTAGCTACTATCTTCCTAGATTCTCCCAACTTCCTATCACTTTTCGGATTTTTTTCGAGAAGTTCCTCAGAGTTTCTCGGGTCTCCTCCACTTTTTCCCAAAAAAGAAAACTGCCATCTAGCGGAGAGGGAGGAAGGGAGGGGGGAAAGGTGGGAGAGGGGGAGGGGAAGTTATAGAGCGCACTTGAAATACGAAAGACGAGAAAAGTCAACAACCGACGTTTAGCAGTCAAAAGTTCACTTTTTTGGGGTCAGATATGCACTAATACCATCTTATTTAAGGAGACTAAGGAAGAAGAAGATGACGACGATCTCGTGAAGACGGAAAATGAAGAGGAATGAATTGGATATTGATCATCTTGTTTTCTGTTATTGTTTCTGTTTTTTGTTGATTGTTGCTTTGTTGATTTTTATGCTCTAGATGAGTTTGCAATATGTTTGACGTTCTGACGTGTGACGTGAAATTTTATAGAAATAAGTTCATAATAAAAATTGACATCGACAGCTCTTCTCAAAGTAATTATGTGGAAGCGTCTTTTCGCATGTCCAGGGGAGTCCAGAAGTTCGAGTACGTAACGCAAGGTTTTTGGAGTTTTTAGAGGGAAAGGTCCACTAGTGAAGGGTTTTTGGAGTTTTTAGAGGGAAAGGTCCACAAGTGAAGTGCCTATTTGTGCCCCAAGAAAGCTCTCGTTGAACGCAGCTATGATTGGGTGATCTGGGGTGAGTTTTCTGCCCTCTGATACCTCTCCCATCTTCCACAATTGGTGGAGAACGGAACATTAGCCTCCTTATATGCCTCAGCATAAACAAGAGGAACATTTTGCAAGCCTTCACTAAGCCAAGGAAATCTCGTCGACCGTAAGAGCCTGTTAGGGTGAAGAGGATTTACGGAGAAAACTACTGTAAAGAAAGATTCCTCGATTTCATTTGTAAACATGCAGGTGCTGGTGGTGATGAGAGGAATCAAAAGTTTCCTTAGTTTCCTCTTCCAAAAGTTCCAAAAAATTCAAAGAGGCTGTTTGAGAGTTTGGCGTCCCAAGCTAAATTGCACTTCAGATTCGTTTTAAGTTGGTATGGCCCAAAATTGGGTGTCCAAATTGATTCGCTCGAAGGTAAGCACGTAATTTCTTCTCTTCGTGAAGAGTGGTTTGACCAGAGCCTGGCTCAGACAGGCATAAAGTGCTACCGGAGGGCAGTGAAGGACGGCTACGTATTCCCTTGCCGAATCTGCTCTCTTATACACGCAGATACCTTTGAATTTCTTCCGTCTGAAACCTAGCGGCCATCGTAGCCATACCCTCCACTACCCTCGGATACGTACTTTGTGTACTGTAGTCATTCTGCATCGATTCCTGTTGAGGTCTAGTTCAGTATATCGCCATTGTGAAGCTCTAACGTTTCCAGCCTAATTTTCACTGAATGTTGTCGCTTCTCTCCTTCAAAAATTGTTAAAGAGTAGGCTGGCGTGGAGCCAAAGCCGGACCACGAAAAAGGTAAGTGGGGCACACAGAGCATGTAATAGTGAGAAGGAAACTAGCCATTCAGCGTAACCCTGCCCCAAACACAGCTGTCTCAAGTACGGTACGTACCTGAGGAACAATTTTACAAGCTCTCTTGTGCAGAGAAATCTCTTGGATTGTAAGAGCCTGTTGGGGTGTAGGGGGTTAC